GAGCGAAGTCCATTACTCTGACGTAGCAATGAGCTGCTTGTTAAGAAACTATAATTTGGCTAAAGGAACTGCTAACATTAAAACATATTAAACGCCGTGTTCACGGCCCAGTTTATTCGTTTCTTACTTTATTTATTTAACTGTTGTATAAAAGCAATAGAACACTCGAGGTTGTGTGTTATCGCGAATAACATCACGGCTGTTAAGATACTGCGACCAAATCACAGCCATGATGTTATTTTGTGATAATACACTCCCTCTCGTGTTCTATTGCTTAAATATTAATATATTAATTAGAGACGATTCCTTCTAAATGTCTTTGCAGATTAAAGTCATTTCATGCTATCATTTCTTTTGGCTAAAAAAATGCTTCCAAACGCTAAATAAAGAACCAAATACAAAAGTAACAAACAAGTACTTGAGTATTTAAGTATTCTGGTCAGCAAATCTAAACTGTTACTACTGTTACTCTCTCACACCATAATAAGTTTTCTCTGTCCATTACAGAAACATGTAACTGTAGAGGATGCTGCCTGTAAACTGGAGAACTCTCAATGTAACGGCTCCCCGCTGCTTCCTCTCTCCTCTCCAAACCTTTAATCCCTACTTCTCTCTTTCACAGCCTCTTCTTAGATAGAATATTAATGCCTTCAATGCTACACTAACACTATATAGCAACAGTTGCTCAGTGCACTTCACGAGAGGGACAGAGCAAGAAAGAAACAACAGAAAGAAAGAGAGAGAAATAGAGAGAAGGATAACAATCGAAATACGAAACAGAGAACAAGAGACAAGAGACAAGAGAAATGGAGGAAAGAGAAAGACAGAAAGAAATGAGGGGCAGAGGAAAGAAAGAGACAAACAGACAGAGGAAAGAGAGGTACGTTATAGTTCTATTATTAGTGTCCACAGAGACGCGAGTGTCAACTGCATGTGATGGCTGTGTGACTGTTTCCTCTCGTCCCCCTCAACCAGCCCTCTCTAGCTTTCAAAATCCCCTCCCTCCTCCCTCTCCCCCTCTCTCTCTCTCTCTCTCTCTCTCTCTCTCTGTCCCTCTTCAAAAACTCTCTGTCTCCACTCATCTCTCTCTGACTCTCTTCCCTTCATTTTCCCTCACTGAAGTCATGTCTTGAGTGGCTGACCCTAAAAAAAAGTCTAAACTCTCAACATCTGAATCTTCTCATACCGCACATATCTGGTGGCAGAATATATCATTCCTTACTCATTATCAGCCTCTAAAACACTGATATCGCAGAGGCGTGCAATATGTAAATGTAAACAAGCCTCTAATCAATTTGTAATTGGGCTGTTATTTCAATCAAAGCATAACGTTTCATCTTTCTAATGTTTGTTCATTATTATTACTGTTTTTCGTAATCTTTTTCTTATTATTCTACGCTCAAAAAATAAATGTTTCTCATCCCGCAGTTTTCAAGCTAGACCCACAAAACTTTGCTGGATCACAGGACCTGTTTCCGATTAGGCTGTCTGTGCTATTCTAAGCGATACGACATACAGTTTTCGTAAAGCAATCGTTCAAAGAAGATATTTTTTCCCGTAGGAAATGAAAGGCTGAATGTTCGGGACATTCAGGTCTAACTGCCACAAGTGAAGTCACAATGCACATCTCTCAAACAGACAGTCATACACAGTGCACACAGACTCACACGCTTACAGCCTAATGCACAGCAATAACAGCCCAAATAGTGAATTTAAGGTGGCACTGAATTTAAGGTGGCAGTGAGTTTAAGGCATTAGTAAATTCAAGGTAGCGGTGAATTTAAGGTGGCACTGCATTTAAGGTAGCACTGAATTTAGGGTGGAACTGCATTTAAGCTGGCACTGAATTTAGGGTGGCCATGAATTTAAGGTATCTGTAAATTTAAGGTGGAATTGCATTTAAGGTAGCATCTAGCAACACATTACCATCCACCTTGGATATTGTAGCAACTGCCTAGCAACACTTCAGCAATACTTTAACAACCATCAACAGTTTTACACCATTTTAACGTTTTAACATACTTGTGCATTGTACCTGTGCACCAGTGTATTGCGTGATACGTGTCATGTATAGTGTAAAAGGTCTTTAAGTGTCATATGACATTTTTGCCATATTGCTCACCTCTAATTATTATTACTATTATTATTAATATTGTTGTTGCGCTATGAATATCCTGGCCTATCACAGGTGTACTTTGGCTGTTGGGAAGAAACAAAGCATTTAATTGATCCCAAAAAACAAATAATTTTGGAGAAAAATAATTTACACCATGTATCAATATATTTCATTCCCCATTAAACATACCCTTTCCACTGTGACGGTGATAATTAGCTCCATTTAGAAATACTTTATCTGGGAACACTGGAGTCCTTTTCTATTTCTGAAACATCACAGTATTTAGTAAAAAGAAGCATATCACAATTTAATTTCCCCCAATATCGCTCAGCCCAAGTCATACACTCTCTCCTTTGACGTGGCCAACCCTCCCTTTGCACACACACACACACACACACACACACACACACACACACATACACACACACTTAGCACTCTCCAGTGCAGTCATCATTTCTGTTATGTTCTGTTGGTAAAGGTCACTAAAGGTCAGGCCATACGAGGTCTCTTGGACCCACCTGTGCACAGGGCTCAAATTTCATACACAGTGCTGCAGTCACAGGCAACAGAGTGCTGAAAACAGCTGATCTGAAACAGAAACTTCTGCACTGGCAATGAATGCACAGATTATTCTCATTTTCATTGTACTAAATCGAAATATGGCACACATGTGCACACAGCTCACAAACAGCTCCAGAGTGTAAACCATAATGACACAGTCAGTGTGCTGAGACTGATTATTATCTCATTACTTTAGTCATGTTCAAGTGCGCACACACACACTTTCTTTTACACACACACACACACACACACACACACACACACACAGAGTCAAGGCAGGACACAAAAGGCTGCCATATATGAGCACGGCCATTATTAACTTAAAACTCCTTAACCTCCTTAAAGATTATATGAATGTTCTTCAAACTTTAAAATGGTTCTCCACATTAGCACACCTCATTTACAAAAATGGTGCTTCAAAAACAAACAAAACCACCCACTGAAAGGTTCTTTAAAGAAGCAAAAGTGGTCCTTTTGGGACCTTTACTTTTAGGAGTGCAGGACAGCACCATTGAAAAATCTAACCTTCCAAATTCAAACAAGTGCTACAGTACAGGGAGCAGGACGAGGCAGGTCTTCAGGCTAAGGTCACCGGTCGTGCAGGTGAGGGTGTTTGGATCACAAACAAGCACTGTATCTACCCTATATACAGTAGTACAGCACAACCTCAACTGACCCTGAGTTGTCTATCAAGCAGAGAGATGTTCACCTGCTGTGTGTGTGTGGGTGTGTGTGTGTGTGTGTAATAGCAGTAACAGGCAGTGACAAGCCTGTCCCTTTATCTCCTCCCATTCAGCTCACTCAGAGAGCCTAATTGAAGTCAATTGGAGAGTGGAGAAAGGGGGATGAAGAGGGACAAAGGGAAAGAGAGCACAGGGGAGAGTGTGTGTGTGACAAAGGGAGAAGGGGGGAGAGAGAGAGAGAGAGAGAGAGAGAGAGAGAGAGAGAAAGAGAGAGAGAGAGTGTGCGGTTGGGCAAATCTGGGGCAGTCACTTCATCATCAGGGGTGCAGGGAGAGCAAAGGAAAAATCCATCTTGGTTCCTTTCTGTACTAAAGTAGCTGAGCTCTGCTTGGACTGCTCAGTTTTCTATCTCCTACGGTGGTCTATGGTGGTCTGCCCCTACTGCCTTGCCGTGCGCACACCCACGAACACACACAGCCAATGACTCGTCTGTAGTGCCTCTTCCACACAGTCCCACTGCGCTGAAGAGGTGAGTCAAACAAATGCCCGGCAGGTGCGTCTGGTCTTTTTCCAACGTGTTCGTATCTCCTAGACCTGTGGTTCTGGAACAGGTTTTCGGGAACTCCAAGATGGTCCACATTTCTGCTCCAACCCAACTTGCGGCACCCAGGGATTAAGCAAAAATGTGGACCTTCTTGGGGTCTCTGAGGAACAGTTAGAGAACCAGTGTCCTACAGCAACACATCGGACATGTATTCAACAGGTTCACCTGTGCGCAACTAACTTTGAATCCAAGTTATGCAAGCAATACAAACTAAGGTCTAGTTTCCTTAATACAGGTTAAGTCTTGGACTAAACTGCAATCCTTACAGTGATTCACCAAAAAACTGCTTTAATATGTGTGCAGGGAAGTAGCCCTATGAGTTATTTATGAACCTCCTGAAATGCTAGATCAAACGCTTTGATCAAAAGCTCATATTAAAATCATCACACGTACACGAGCGGTCTATCAATCAGAGAGCAGCTCCACCCACAACGCGAATGTGTCCCAGTTACAGGACTCCGATCCGTCCCGGGACGTGTACGTGTAGGAGCGGCGTTTTGACACCGAGGCTGCGTTTCCAAGCCTGCGCGTAAACCTACAGCACCAATTAAACGGACTCACGCGCGTCAATTACCAAAAAAGAAAGACAAACACGCGCGCACGCGCTCTCTGCGTGCTCCCTCAGCGGGACGGCGCCGTTCCTCAATTAGGCCACACTGGCGCTGATGTGATCAGGGTTAATAGATTTTTAGAGACTCTTTCTTCCATCCGGCGGGTTTGAGTTATAACGCTGTATGAGCGCAGCGCGAGGCAGAGCCGCTACCGGGCCGGTGGGCACGGAGAAGAGCGCGCGAACAACGACCCAGAGAGAGAGAGGGAGAGAGAAAGAGATAGAGAGTTCTACGATCAACTTACGTCCCTGTCTAAAGGGGGTGTGCACGCGCGTGCCCTACTGCACGTGCCCGCGCGCTACCGGCTGAAAATATATTTGCATAAACAAACACTGGGGCTGACGGGCGTTACGCGCTCGCGCATGAGGGAGCGAGAAAAGAAAGAGGCACAGCCAAAAAAACACCAGAGAGCCAGTCGTACTCACCGCAGCCTTGATGGGCACGTACAGGATGGGTCTCTCCCCGTTTCTGTCCCGCTGTCCTCCCTCGCTGCTCCCCACTTGGAAGCCTTTGGATTTGACCCAGAACTTAAATTTGGCGTTGATGTGGCTGCTGTCCGCGTACGAGTCCGGCTCGTCGCCCTGTAGGAGCGTCTGGAGGATCCGGTTGTATTTGCGCCGGGTCACCGTCTTGGTCTTGCCCGAGTCTCCGTACGTCCGGAGGCACCAGTCCTGAAATTCGCCGAACATCTCTCCTTCAGACAGAGAGGGGCTTCTTTTCACCGAATCCGCGCTCTGCTTCTTGTTAGACATCCCTCTCTCTCTCTCAGATATCCCCCCACCCCTCTCAGCCCCCCTCAAAACCGAAACGAGGTCTTCTTCTTCTTTCTCTCCAAATATGTCTCGGGCCCCGTAGTTTCCCCTCCGTGTGAGAGACGCACTGGGTCTCTTCAGCCTCCTCGCAGGAGCGGCGTATCCCGTCTGAAAGCAGCGAGTCTAGAGGAGTGAGCGCCCGGCCATTTCTGGTTCGTCCTCCTCACACCTGTTAGCTGAGCCGTTTTCTCTCCACTGTCACAAAAGAGACACGAATGGCGCCCCCCTCTCCTCCCCTCTCCTCCCCTTCCTCCTCCTCCTCCTCCTCCTCACGCACCTCTGAGAGAACCAGAGGGACAAAAATAAATAGGAAAAAAAAAACGAGCTAAGCTAGCCTCTCCCACCTGTGCGTGCCGTGGGGCTTTTAGCTTGGCGAGCTAATTCAAACAAGCTGCTCACCTTTTCTTTTCCACACACGAGCGAGCGAGCGCGCGCGCACGTGCTAAAAACGTGAGTGAAACGCCTCAGGAAGGACAGCGTGTGAGGAACAAGCGGGGCGGTCGTCGAAGACCCGCTGTGGGAGTGAGTGAGCGGGGAAAGTGGCCTTTGTTCGGGCTCCCTGCACCGGACGAGGCGACGAGAGGCTCCGGGGGTGAAGAGAGTCTGAGCGGGTCCTCCCTCCTCTCCCTCTTTCCCCCTCCTCTCCCTCTCTCTCTCCTCCTCTGGCTCCACCTGAAACCGCTGTTACCACCTGTTAGCATCAGCGCGCGCGCGCGCTCACGCCTCCCAGCCTCGAGCTCCGGCCGTCCGAGCGGAGGATGTGTCCAGGCGAGCCTGGTGGAGGATTAACGGGGAAGAGGTTTGCCGCGAAGTGACGGAGTTAGACGGCGGCGAGTGGGGCTGAACGGGACCGAGCGCGCGAGCACGGCCGGCATACAGGAAGTGTTGCTGTCACAGAAAACAACGCGCAGGCAGACGACCCAAACAACACAAAGGCGACACTGAGACCGTGTCCAAAACCACATACTGCACTCAACACACTGCATACACTGTACTAACAACGCACTGCTGTCGGTGAAGTCCTACGGGGCTTATAACCACTAATATTAACCCTTTTTTTTGCACGAATTAAGAAAGACACACAAAATGTTTTCAGATTTTTTTCTTATTCAAAATGGCACCATTATACTGAAATACTGAAAGATACATATATATATATATATATATATATATATATATATATATATATATATATATATATATATAATTTAAAACCTTTCTTTTCTTAGTGGGGCGTTCTTTGTATTTCGTTGCCTTATGGCAACAGCGTGACAATGGATCTGCAATGCACGCAATGGGAGTAAACACAGGGCACTGCCACATTCATCATCCAAGCAAGCATGTACAAAACAGCCGAATCCATAAATGTTTTAATAATATGAAAATAATTATGTTGATTAAAAACATCAAAATTGCAGTGTGTGCACTGCAGATTACAGCTCCATTTTCATATGCTGTTGCCTAATGGCAACAATTATTTTTCATCATTTTGTGTAAAACCCAGCAAATCTTGCCTTGTAGAAACAGTCTGACAATGAACCAGCCATCTGCAGTGGAAGTAAACATAGGACATCACCACAGTCATCATCCAGACACGGCAAAGCAGCCAAATGTATAAATGTTTTAATAATACATGAGAATATTAAAATTATTAAATGATATAGAAAGCCAAAAATGATGTTAAAATAGCAGTGTATGCATTGCAGATTGCAGTTCCATTGCCATGTGCTGTTGCCATATATATATTATATATTTTATAATTTTGTACAAAACCCAGAAAATCTGAACTGGGTTTATTAATGAATTATTTTTTTCTTTGTTGTTGTGTATCAAGAATAAGGGTTTCAGAGGCCTGGCCTCACCGCGTGATGTGTGTATGAGAAAAAGAAGTACAGATTGTAACAGGAAGGCATCTGATCAGATAGTATTCCATTTCACTCAGAAAGCTTTCAGTTTCCAAAAGAACAAGGAAAAAAAAGGACTTGAAAATTTTAGTCGACCAAAAAAAGTTATTGTTGCCATATGGCAACACCATGCAGGAAAGGGTTAAATAGTAATGCTAGTGAATATCAGCACTACTGGTGATATCAACAGTTGGCAGTCAGTACTGTTTAGCTGCTGCTATTCAGGAATGTAAAGTTTCCTACAGAATACAGTTTCAGGCTCATTAGTTTAGGCTCAACAGTTTGAACGGAGAGATGTGAACTGGTGTGAGGAGGATGAGCAGCTAGCTGTGGGTAGGTGGTGACTGGTTATGAAGCAGAAGTGTGCGTGCATGTTTTTTGGGAAGCCCCTCATATCAGCTGCATGTTTTCCACACATTTGTCGGTTAAACCGTCTTGTTTTTCTCCAGACTGCCATATGAGAGTGTGGTCCCTTAAAAAAAAGGAACAGATGCAGTTAAACCGTTTTTTTATATATATATATATATATATACACACATTCATACGCTCACCCTTTCACATTCTCTCACTTTCTTAGGTTAAAACAAGAGAGTGCATCTAGAAGTCTGTTTACTTGCAGCAACACATCTTGATCCAGCTCATCAAGGCCTTCTGGAGCCTCAGCATTCTAGAAGGAGGTGGGTTGGATCACATTTGGAGCTCATGACTAAGCGGGCATGGGAATGTTTCCGATGTCCAAGTGAAAAAAATCCCTTTGAATGTCCTTCCAACTCATAATTCCTGCTCAGAAAGTTGGAGTTCCTCTGGAGATGTTAATCTGTGATGTCATTTCAACACAGTCCTGCCCATCGAACAAAGGCTTTGGCTGAAATGGATCCTGTTTGCATTTTGAGGCACTGTTGAGTGCATCGGCTACTTCGTCCGTAATATAAAAACGGAATTCCAGAGTAATTTTGAGGGCACTATAAAATCCACTCTGCACTCACAATTTCTAGTGAACAGTGTAATTCACTATGTCTGCTGAATATGCAGGGTGATTAAAAAAGATGAACTCAATCTCAAAATGATTTATTTCACTTATACTATATTATACTATATTACAGAACAATGCAGTAAACTGTAAATGGTTTAAATGAGCATAAAGTTTATTATGTAATTTTACAAGTGCTCAGTATGAACCTCCTCCAGCTGTACAGACAACATCAACACCATAGTCAAATTCATCCCATACTGGATTGAGCATGTCGGGTGTCGCTGCACTTACGGCTCTTTCAGTGAGATTTCGGAGATCATCCAGTGTTGTGGAACCAAAGACGAACGCTCTGATCTGTTGGAGCTTCACTGTCCATCTTTCGGTGACAGTCAGAAACTCTATGACCCCCTCTTTCAATTGGAATGTGATTGGTTCCTAGGCGCCTCACGGTTGTAAAAACATGGTGCTTTTAAAATCGGATGAATCTTTTTGAATCACCCTGTATGCCACGATGCACTGCAAGTTTCATTACTAACACAGTCTTGAAGTTGTGTTGAAAATATTGTATTCATTAGATGAGCGCACACAAACGCTACCATAACGTTGTAATTGCTAGAGGGAAACCAAGATTTTTCAGTGCGGCCCAAGTTGAGGCTGTGCCAACAAAAAAGAAAGTAGCTGCTGTCAGTTGTATTGTACATTGGGTGTATTTTAGTTAGTCAGCAGCCACAAATGAACACTGCAGGCTACAATATTTGTAAAAGACTTCAGTCAAGTTTTTCACTTTTTCCTCGTCCCCTGCATTTTTTCAAAGTGTTACGCCCATGTCCAGTCTACGCCTATATAAAAGCCAGCTTCAGCCTTGTTCAAGCAATTCATGTTGCTTTGTTTATGTATATGCAACTGGTGAGCACTGACACAGGCTAATAATGAGAAATGATTCAGGCATTTTTACCACTACTTAGTAAACTAATGAGTTCTCACCCATATAGCATAATATTAACGAGGAAGTGAGGCTCCATTTCGGTCACAGCCAAAGAATTTATGGCAGGTTTTAAAGGGCTGTATCACTGAAATAAAGGAAGCAATATGTAGACATTGTAAAAGTTTTAAAAACACCATTCACTACCCAGTCACTACCCAGTCAGTAGATGAAAATATTCTACAAAAACAGCCCATTATGAATTTACTGATTCTGTGATGTCACAGAAACTCATTTACATATATGCACCTAAAACAGTTTATCCCTGCTCGTTCAGACTGAAGTTCTAAGGAGTGTTTTGTTCTGAATGAAGCACAACACAGGGCAGCCAATCAGAACAGAGCTTATTTACCTTATATGAGTCTCAAAGCCACAGTAATAAAAACAACTTGTTTAATTCTAAGGGATAAAATGCAAACCTACAAACAAGAATGAAAACGTTGTTTATTTTAACTTACTGACCAGTTATGATGATCTGTGGATGAGGTTTAGCTCAGCACCTGTTTAGTCTAGCCTTGAGCTCGTATTCTAAGAAACACAAATCAGTGTGTGCAAACCGAATGAAACAATTCAAATACCTAAAAATAATGACATTTCCACAGGGCAGAAATATCTCAATACACGAGTGCACTTCAGCACATCAAAGGCGCTCGGCGCAGTGTTACTGTCTCAAAGCGCCATGAGGTGAAACAATGGCGTGGATGTGAGGACTTCTCCGTTAAGACCTTGAGAGAGACTGTGAATAGAGGAAGCCTGGACGTTCTGTGCTAAAATAGATGTTTGTGTTACTGCAAGTGCTGTGTGTCTGGGTCATATGCCACACACACACACACACACACACCAGACAGACCCAGGAAAACAGAATACTGCTTTGGCAGTATTAGATGTTTGTATTAGATGTTTGTCTTAAGGGGGGAAGCCTCACTTTTTTGGCCTAATTCAGTCATTGAGATGTAAACAAAGTCATTTAGAGTGGTTTAATGTAAAATCATTAATTGTAGAGAAACCTACAAACTCTGCTTAACAGTGGTGGTGATAGGAACCAGGGGTTGCCCTGTTTTCAACAAAAATAGAGCCATTTTTACATTTATAAATCCAGCCATATTTACTATCCAAAACAACCAGTGACACTACACCTGTTTCCTGGGTTTTATATGTAATGTTGATTATGAAATAAAATAAAAATAGTGATAAATCTGAAAAATTTTCTCTGGGGACTATTTTGATTAGTAACACTGTTACCCCATGAACGGATGTCAAAAAATGTATTTTAGGCCAAAATCTTTTCTCAAAACTATCGTAAACAATGTCTCAGGCATCAGGCAGCATATTAATAACCATTTCATGTATTAACTTTCTGTAAAAACA